GTCTGATGGATGATTCTGTTCAGAGCTCAAAAGACCAGTGTGCTGATAGGAATATAGGTGGTGTGGGGTGGCTCAAGAGGTTTCAATTGGGAACAAGGACTCTATTTGCAGGTTGACTATGTGTCATATGTTTTATACTCTGCAATAAAATTTGTCTGTATTTTACTCATGTCCTAAAACTGCAGGAGACTTAGATTGAAGGTGACATACTTATTAATTGACAATGGAAAAAAATTTCAAAGCAACCTAACATCCAGAATGTGTCAGGTATACTTCTAGCTTCCTTTAGCTAGATTTATAGTGAAAATTTGAGACAAAAAGTAGAGCAAAAATGTTTTCAAAACTTAAATATTGCCTTATAAGAAACCATGTGTAAAGTTGGGTCAAAGGAAGTGTGGCTACTAAAGAGACTAGCACTATTAACAACAAACAAAGTATTTCCTACAGGAACAACATGAAATCTTGATGGTATCTCTGGGATCAGAAAGCCCCACTCACTGTAGGTACAAGTGTAGAAAAGTATCTATCTTTCATTTAAGAGAGTTTGCTTAAGAATGGCTTTTGAGATCATTGATTCCCAGGGATTGATTTTAATGCACTCAACCATCCAAACACTGAGAGACCATTTCAGCCATGCTTTAGTGGGGTCTATCCAGTGCTTCTGCTGAAAGCAAACCTTGGTGTTATGACATGATACTAATGTAACTGGCATGCAGGATGTGATAGTTGTGGGGTCAGGGATACTACCACCGAGATTTCAAAGAAGGAAATGGAAAGCCAGGCAAAATGTCCCTGAGGGAGCAATCCATGAAACTGGGGAATAAAGCCGAAGATAAAGTGTAGACCCAAGGAAGTTGGAGATTCCAGGAGCATGGAATATCTTCTAAGGAAAGCCTGTCCGTGATGGCTCCAGGTGGCAAGGCCATAGGGGTGGGCCTCATCAATCCCTTTGGAACTCACATTTTACCATTCTGTGCCCCAAATGCCAGATATGAAACTGCAGAATTTAATCTTTTCCCTGCTGTGTTATGGTGTTGCTTTTGTTGGACATGATTCTATCACCCCATTTTTATGTTTTGAAGTGGTAATGTTTGCCTTGCACCATTGTACCTTGAAATTGTGAAGCTTGTTCTTCATTTTCAGTTTCATAGCTGAGAGCTGGCCTTGAGTCACATAAGAGACTTGTGCTTTTGAAAAGTACTGAAACTGTTGGTACTTTGGGGAAAGGCTTATTGGGATTCTAGTTGTATGCAGCATAGTTGTATTGTGTTACTTTGAATTGTGAACTTGCTACTGTCTTTATCTGGAGATAAAGTATGATTTAAGGAGCTGTGTTTAGCTTTGAAAATCATAATTTATCAGTTTTGGGGATTAAGAAAAACCTAACAGATTAGTAGTGCAGACTTCTAGGTGTGTTTGGGTGGGTCATGGAAGTATGGTTTTGAACAGTATAAATGGTTCCTCACCCATTCTTTTCTGGTGCTATTTCCCTGTTCCGCTCCCCAGCTACCATGAACCAAGCATCATTGCTCTGATATGCACCTCTATCTCTATGTTCCCGTGTTGGAGCCAGTAGATTATGGACTAAATCTGACCAAATTCAACTTCTCATTCTTTAAGTTCTTGGTTTCAGGTGTTGTGTCTTAGTGATGAAGGGATGAAAAAAAAAGCTGACTTATGCAATACGGGACTTGTAAAAGACACATAGCAAAAAACAAATTAGTCATGCATCAGAATCTTTTCACAAAACTTCTGTCTCAGAACCTACAGAGTGAAAATTGATATAAGTTTGGCAGCACATCTAGGAAAGTTGAAAAACACTAGGGCTGCTGACCACAGCCCCATGTCTGTGGGCATGCTTATTTATTGTGTTTATTGTTAACCTACATTCTGACTGGTTTGTTCTTGTGTATCGTCTTTCAAGGGATACTGAAATGAAGTATATTACTTGGGGATTCCTTTATGGAGTAGACAGCAGGGGAGGCAGACAGATCAGCTGCAAGGAGGTAGTGCTCCATAGTGTCCATATCCTCTTTGGGACATGAAAGGGATCTTAAAAGGAGGAAGAATTACTCAAAGAAGTGGACTTGATGGACCTGGGATCTGGAAAAGACATACGGATTTTGAGACCCAAGTAAAGGGGAAGGTTCATAGATTCCAATGGAGTGCCTATTTACCAAGGCCCATTTGCCTAGTTTCCACATGGCTGAGCCAATACAGTAAACAGAATTAGGCCAGATCACTGGTGAAACAGATTAAAGAAATACAGAGGATACGTCAGGTCTTAGAAGATGAGAGGAATGCTAACTGCCATGAGATCACCTAAGACAGTGCTTTGCCTCATACCTAGACGTGTTTTAAAAAGGGACAGTGAACAAAGAACTGCTTTGAATGATCAATTACCTTTCTTATTGCATTAAGCAGAGGTTATTTTTGTTAAGGAAACTTTATAAATTATTGTACTCTACTAGAAAGTAGTCCTGTCTGCCACCAGTTATCCATTAGTCAAGAGCGCATGTGAAAGAACAAATAAATGTGTTACAGAGAAATGAAGCAGCTTTCTTTTCCTTATACACCTGTGAATGTTGTGAATGAACTGACCCCAGATGTTCAAGTTTTTACCCGCTGGCCTTTTCTAGAGATGTTCCTAAGCTCAGCAAGTGCCTCCTGAACACAGAATTGTTATTTTAGACTGCGATTTTTCACTAATCTAACAAACTGATTTATCATGGCAATATGTAGGATATGTGAATGAAAAACACATGCAACAGAAAGCTGTCACTCAGCAGAATGCTCTGTCTAACATCTTTATGGAATATTTCCTCCTGGTCCAGTGTTGTACAAAAAAGTTTGGTTTAAAATAATGCTTAAAATATGTCAGTCTCTTCTAGTGATAAACTGAGTGATAATTTGCAAACCTCCTCTTTAGTGTATCACAAAATGGGGGGATGTGGTGAATGTTCCCCCAAACCAAATCTCATAGGCACTTTTTAAGCTACATAGATCATTACCATAAAATATTGATCATAATTAAATTCTTTTAAATTACTCAAGAATGACAATGAAAGACATTGTGTAAGAAAAAAGGAACTACAAAGCTTTTGAGCCAAATTCAGAGGTGTTAACACTTACAGATGCAAAAGAAAATTTATGAAGAATTTCTTGTGCTAGGAAACACACCAAACAGTATCATTTCTGGATAGGGCAATCATTAAGTCTATAAAAACGTTGGCTGATCTAGAAATATTCTTGCTAATTATTGTTTCTTGAACTTTTCTTCTGGCAAACAGGGAGGAACGGCAATCTCAGGCTTGGAGGAGTTCCACAGTCAAGAATGCAGTAGGTAAAGAACATTCTGGAGGTGAGTGAGCTGGTTCAGTGGAATAAAAGCAGAGGATTAAGCATTCCAAAGCAAAGAATGGAGGAACCAACAACCAGTGTCACTGTAAGAAAGCGTTTCACATGGTACTTAATTAGTACCCATAATTTTTTGTATGAGTTAAAATAAATATAACTTAAAATACTATGATCATTTTATTACCTTCACTTTGATTTTCTTTTCTTTGTTTTGAGTTTTCTCCTCATTATGAAAGTCTTAGAATTATGAATTCATTAGCATGAAAAGGTATAGTGCGTTTATTTTTAAAGAAACTAAAGAGGAAGAAAACTGTTTACTTTAATACCCTGCTCTATACAAGATGTGATTTGAGCAAAACTCTGAAAAGCAGAGTTGCAGTAATTATAACAAAAGATAAGTGTGCACTAACTTCTTTGATCCCAGGGCCTAGGAGCAAGAGCATCTGTGTGGGTTTGAGGAAATGTGCTAGCTCAAAGCAGTAAAAGGACCCACAAGTATCATATTCTGAAAACTGTTTTTAATCCAACAACTCAAAAATAATAATCTCTAAATTCTTTTTTAGATATATCTATGTTACAGTAAGATATGTCTGTTTCTTATGTAAGAATTTATAATCCCATTATTATTCTTTTAGTGGAGTGAATCTCCCTAGTAAATGTTAAGCTACAAGAAGTTACAGATCCATGTCTGAGTGATTCAGTCTTACACTCTCAGAGCTTAGCATGTGGCAGAGGTATTGTTCATGAATGAAAAATAAGTGATTAAACATTGAATGGTAACCTTGCCCCTGATCCTTCCTGTTTCCTATTTTATGATAAAAATTGCCCCCAACTCATGAAGATTGTTTTGATGGATTCCATCTCACACTTAGCCTTGTAGTTTTCCTTACCACTTGTCTATTAAGCATTCAGAAATGCCCTTTCTGGTAATGTGCTTTCTCAGCTTGAATTCAAATAAACCAATTCACACAATGAGAAAAATGAATGAAAGAGCAATGTCATTCTACACTATGACCCATTGTAAAATGAATAGGAAAAAAGCCTCTCACTCATGGCATCTCATGACATTTTATGCAAAGGGAAAAGGAGATTTTTGACAATATAAGGAGGACAATGGGTCTTTGGAGTCATTCCTGCTGATGATAAATAATGTGGGTGAAAGAGTCCTAGGACAGAACGGTCACTGAGAAGGTGCCAAGGGTTTTTTCCATGATTGTGTGGACCACCAAGTTCACAGTACTCCTCTATCCCCACCTAAGAGACAATGTGTTTTTGCCACAGCTCAGTGAAGTCAGTGCAGGAATTTGCAAAAGCAGAGAGCTATAAGTACAGGGATATTTTATTTTAGCTCTCTAATGACCACGTCTATCTCCTATTATTAATAATCAATCATTCATCTCTGGAGCATTCAAGAAAAGGCACCATGGCTTCTACACTTGAGGAGAGGCTGGGATGCAGATTCCTGTGCTGAATTGTTTCTTGAGCTTCTTCATTATTTACAGATTCCTAAAATGCAAACAGCTAGTGTTATCAGGCAAAGGCAGATCCCCTGAGCCTTTTATCATTCTGGTTGCAATTTTGCATATTTCATTTATAACCAGACAGCATACCAAATGAAGCTAGACTCTTTAAAGGGAAATGAGGCAATTGGAATGTCAATTTTATTTAGTAATATATTGTAAAAACTAAACAGCATATCCGGTTGATTGACAAAATCTATCCAACTGTTAAACAACTACCTCAAGAGGTACAGTTATGCAGATCGTACTTTTACCTATAGGCAGATATTTTAAAAAGAGTGAGAGAGATAGAATATTGAAGCAGAATGCTACATCCAGAATTGTTTGACTGATAAAATTTAGGAGTGTGGGGGATTCAGAAGCAGAGACATCATGTCATATTTGCTTTCTTCTTCAATGAGCCTTTCAGCTTCTTCCACAGACTGTCTTTTCTCTTCAGTTTCTTTTCCATCATGGATGACATGGATTCTTTCTTGCGAATTTCCCTCACTAAGCCATGAAAGGCATCATCAATGCAGAATCTGAGGGCAGCAGAAGTCTCAAAAAAAGCACAGTTATATTCTCTGGCAAGACTCCAGCCTTCTTCTGTAGAGACCTAAAAGAAAGAATAAATGATATTAAAAAGACAGGAAGGGAGAAGCTCTTGAACCAAAAGCAAGTCTTTACTACAGTCTGTAGGCTTTGGTTTTACGGAAAAAATGTAAAATGTGGGAATTTATTTTGAGGAAGACACCTGGCATTTCAGAGCTGGAGAGACAAATGAGAAAGCAGAAGCAAAATGTCACCATTCTAATAAGTATTTCTCTACCTCAGCACTTTGGAACACATTGAAAGTATCATGAGGCTTTGTGGTGCTTCCCACGCTGTGGTTCATGCAGTTGTACTCCATCTTTTAGAGCTCAGAACCTGAACAAATTTAGGCACCTGGCCCCATTTATACTCCCTTCAGTATCTAGAACAGTTCGTAGTACCTGTCCACAGTACAGGTATTAAGGAGTTTAAAATAATGATCAAAAAACATTCAAGGTTTAATAAGTATTAACTCATACGTGAAAATAAATTATGTGCACATATTTGGAGTCTAGATTATGTAACCATAACTCATGTTAATTTTTGCTCAGAATTTAGTGGTCCCATAAAGCCTTACAGGATTATCAGTCTGGGATCCTGAGAGAGGAGGGTTAGAACTCCAATGATTAAACCCTGCCCCTATATTAGATATAAGGCATAACTCAGAAAGAATTACTATTTTAAACTGCTGATGTTCAGTAATTGTCATTACAGTAGAAATTACATTTTTAAAAGTTATGTCACACCATTTGGCTAGAAACTGGCTGAGCAGAGGTGTAAGAATCTAACAGGTCTATCTAAATCAGAAACAGATCCTTCACTCTGGCCCGTAAGAGGTTACTTTCACGAAGAACTGTGAAGCAGAAATGAAGAGTAGTCATGTTTTAACTTGTAAAGTCACTGTCTAGACTTTGTGTTCTCTTTTTCATTGCTGCCGGCAAACATAACAATCTTTTTTATTTAATGCGTTCATTTTTTTCATTTGTAATGATTTAAATGTAGCTAAAAACAACTACCTAAAGCTATTAACATTCTGTTTTACCAGTGACTGAACAAAATTATAAGTTTACTGAGCTACTTTTCTGCTTGTCAACTTATCAGAAGTGATAATCTAATGTTTTGACACGACATAGAATGGATTACCATTTACTGTTTAGTCATATAGAATTTTCGCACTTAGAAACCACTGACACATGTTTTACTTCTGTCCACAGAACCGTCACATTTTTGGTGCTATTTTCTACATTAATCAGCTTTCACTAGGTTACATTTGTATTCCCGAAGAGCTTCAATATCCATGTGACTTACAACATATTTGTTCTTTGCATAAACTGGTACTTAGTAGCTACGAGAAGATTCTGGCAGCTCAATTCCAAGCTGTGGGTTGGATTCTAGTTTGTTCCATCTACCTTGTTATTCTGGAAATAAGGCTGAAAGAGCACTTTCTACCTCAGATATGATGTTTTCTTGACAGACAACAGGTACACAAGAGGCAGAAATAATTTCACCCACACCCAGTGGTCAAAAGACAGAACCTAAAGCAACTGAGGCAGGTTGTGTAAGGAGCTCACATTCAAGCAGGACCACAGTGCACAGGAAACAAATCATTATGAAAAATAAAACTCTACCACAATGAAGTATTTCTAAATGCAGTACATTCTCCAATTGCAAAAAAATACAAAAATGATCAGACCTGACTTTTGAAAAATCATTTGCAGTTGCAATGCTTTACATGTAAAGATATAAAAACATTGGAAATTCAAACAGAAAGAAAGCTGATATAGTGATATAAACATTGGGCAAAATAGTAAGTAAAGTAAAAGATCACTACTACAGTAAAGGAAAATGTTGTATGATAAAAATATCAATCTATCAGTCATATGTGGTGTCCCATGCCTGTAATCCCAGCACTCTGGGAGCTTGAGGCAGAAGGGTCACAATTCTGACTCTAGCCAAGACAAATGACTGACTTTTAGCAATACCTTATCTCAAAATAAAAAAAGAAAAAGAAAAAAATAAATGGCTGGGGATGTAGGTCAGTGCAAAGGCCCTGGGTACAATCCCTGGTATTGGAAAAAACTCAGTCTCTCAGGAAGGTAATATATGAATTGGTATGATTTTAAAAGTATTACCTCTTTATTTTAAAAAGTCCAAGATTATAGTGAAAGATATTAATGCAACTCTTTTACACAACTGAAAGAATGAGGGAAAAGTCACAAGAGTATAGCATATTTGAACAAAGAATAGCATATATATCTATATCTCAGTTGAGTAATACTTGAACATTTATAAAAATTGACTTCTTAGTATACCAAGTTTCAAAACATTTCAAGGAAGAAGTATTACAGCATATTATCAAACAAATGGAACTAAATTAGAAATTAATAAAAAGTACTAACTAGAAAATCCACAAGTATTTGGGAAAATATATGTGTAAATAATCAAAAATATATGAAAGATAGAAAATATGTAGAATTGACTGGTGAAATGAAAATGAAAGATTAACATACCACAGTATGTGGTGTTCTTTAAAGATTTATATTGTTTATAACATTTCTTGCAAGTTTTGGAAAAGTGTGAACACTTAGATTTAATGAGCAAGCTATCAACCTCAGTGGAGAACCTTAACCAAATTCAGGCAACGGAGCTTTAGTCAAGGCCTGGACAGAGAAGCTGATGCAGTGTAACAAAGAATCGAGAAAGAAAACCAGCATCTATTTGGGAGCTTGATGTACTCTTGTGTAGCAGTCCAAATCACTGAAGCAATTAATGGATCATCAATGGTGTCCCGTCACTGAATTATCATTCTGGTTACTTTTGACCAAAAGGCATGGGGCTATTTCTACTGGTACTGGAAGGCAATTTTTGTAAGGCAGGGTAAAAGTGAAAAGAAATTGGAGTTAAATCTTTAGAGAAGTCTACAATTTTTAACATTTGAAAAATTATATTGGTGGATATGTATCATTCATATATATTCATATCTCTGTATATAACATATTTATGAAATATTTTCTAAATATTAAAATGCAAGCATCATAAATAAATCAGTATAGATATCAAAACCTCATTAAAAATTCATGTAACAGTGAAACTCAAACTGAAATAAAATTACAAATCAAACTTCTTTGCAGAGCTTCTTAATGGGAAACGATCTTTAATCGATGATATAACTGAATATTTATTGCAGTTTAAATTGTATTTAAAACTGTGGCTACTCATTACTTTGATAAATAGTGTAGCAATCATGGACCCTCTCTTTCAAAGTATGCAGTGTGGTTGTATACATTTTAGAATAATTATCAGAATATGAACTCTGTGTTATCTAGTTGAGACTAACTCAGTAATTTGCACATTCATTATAATGAAATAAAAAGGGGCTGGGGATTTAGCTCAGCGGCAAAAGCGCTTGCCTGGCAAGCGCAAGGTCGTGAGTTCGGTTCCTGGTACCGGAGAAAAACCGAAAAACCAAAAAAAAAAAAAAGAAATAAAAAGGAAAATTAAACAGTAAAATATTTATCTGTTCTATATTTGCTTTAAAAATTCTAATTGGGTCAGTGATTTAACATTTTTAATTAAAAAAATACTAATATCAGCACATAGTTTTTAAAATAAATTTTTATGTTCCAATAAAATTCTGCCTGATACAATGTAACAAAAAACCAAGAAAGAAAACCAACATAGAGGTGGGAACTTGAGGTATTCTTCAGCTGGTATTCTATCATTCTTTTTTTTTTTTTTTTTAATTTTTCTCTGGTACCAGGAACCGAACTCACAACCTTGAGCTTGCCAGGCAGGCGCTTTGCGGCTAAGCTAAATCCCTAGCCCTATGGTATTCTATCATGTAAGTATTAACAAACCATAAATTTGTGATCACTGTCTTTGATCTTAAACCTATGTACTATGTACTCACTACAGAACTTGATTCCAAGCATAGGAAAGACCAAATAAACATTAAGTGTTACAGATATCTGGGTTTTATGCTTAGCAATTATGGAGTGTTTGAGATCATAGTTATTAGAATACTATTAGAGGGAATATTCTTATAAACTCAACGTTCCACCATGATATGCTGACTGGTTTCAGTCCAGAATGTATAAAAAGCAGAAGTCCCATTAGAAGTAAAAACAACAAAAAATGTAATAAGTGAGACACAAAAGATCAAATATCACATGGTTTCTCTTCATGAGGAAGACAAAGTAGAAATAATCTCAAGAATAAAACAGAAGGTAGATATTAGGAAACAGAGAGATAGATCTTTTTTCAAATGAGAAGGGGACCAAGAGATGAAGGGAGGTGGAAGGAAGGGAGGGGAAGAGGAAGTAAAAAGAGCCGGGATGTTTTATGTACATGTGCCAACTCCCGAGGATGAATGTAATCATATGTTCTGCAATTATGTATTAATAAGACTGTAAAAGAACAATTATTTTGATATATCATAGCTATTCAAATTTCACGTAAACTTAAATATTTTAAAACACTAACATTTATCTGCATCATATGGTAACTTCTAAGAATTAGAAGGAAACTAAATTTTCTTATTTTTCAAATCAGGAGTTTCACACCCAGAAAGGTTAAAAATGGTTTTAGGTCACACATATAATTACCTAACGTATCCATCAAATTCTCTTTTTGATGAAGTATTGTTTCCAGTTCCTTTAATTTGTCATGGGGTCTTTCTAGTGCTTCTTGTTAGTATTCTGTATATATTTATTGGATGATTCTGGTGCACAGCTATAGGATGATTTTTAAAATAGTAAACGAGTGCCACACAGTATTTTATATTGCATTTATATAGAAAATGAATTTTCAGGAAGCACAGAAACACAGATGGTAGAATAAACGTTGCCAAAAGATTATTTGGGGTGCTGGGAACAAGAGATGGAGACAGCGTTTTACCACCGTGCCCCTCCATTGCAAAGATTGGGGGTTTGCGACTCAATGTGCCACCTGGAGGCCTTAGAAGGCAATGGCAGGAAAAAAGAAATACAAGTAATAGAAAATTTCAATAACCCAAGGGAATTATCT